ACTGTGCAAGAATCTCTTGACAGCTCCTGTACACTTGAACCAAACAATTCAGCCGAGGCTTTGAACTCTGCAACATGTTAATTTACAAACTGACATGCCAAAGATTGCTATAATCTTGCTTTTGCAATAGAACAACAGCTGCTTCATACCTGGAAAAGAGGGACAACACTGGTCACCGTCTCAGGATCTGCTGGGTCCTTTATCAGAATGCACAGATAGTATATAATGCCGTGCTGAGGTGGAAACATATGATACAAGGGTGATTATTTTTAGATCACAAAACCAATCATGCACAAGAATCACTGGAGAAAACGGCACGTTTACCATATAAACAGCCTCGTTGATCACAATGTCTTTCAGCTTGTTCATCTCAATGAAGATCGTACTTTCTCGTCCAGATGCATAAAATGAAGACAGTTGGACACCAAGGGAACCGATTATGAGAAGGGTCTCATGGTCCACCTTCACAAAGTGAATATGAATCATCATCCCCGCCAGAGTGAGGATGATGGCACTCGACAGGACAGTCGTGTTCTAGACATTTAATTATAAATAAATAATAAAAGTCATTAGCAGTGGAATAATCTCATTGTACTACTGGAATATTAGTTTACGAGTTAATATTCTTGCAGTATCAGATGTTCTTACCTCGGTGAAGAAAAATACAGCATAAGCAAATAACCAAACGAAGCAGGTGTAGACCATCACCTTGCGCAAGGACAGTTTCGGTGAGGTGACCGTAAACTCTCTGCAGAAAGCAGAGCGAGTTTGGCAGTCTAAAGAAATCGAGTTGCCATTTATGTCTGTGAACTCTTCCTCGGCCATGTTGATCACAGTCAGAACATTATATGAATAAGGATTTAGGATTAAATAGCTTTGCTTTGACAGTCATTTGACAACAAACAGTGGAATCTTCTTCTTATGGGGGTATGGCGTTGAATCATTAATAGAAAATAACTTTTCCGCCACCTAGTGGACTGGGGTGTGAAAAAAAACTAAAGTAAGAATTTGTTCTCATTGAGCTTTTTCAGGATAGAAAGGCCCATTTAATTTTACGTGAATAAAAATGAGGGCCAGACAGTGGGTTCAGTGGGTTGCCGCTACTGTTGTGTACCTAAATATCGGCCATTTATTTAAAATGTATGTTTAAAAAATAAATCAAAATATGTGTTGTAAAAATTAGACAATTCTGTATACAGGTTCTATAATTTTCAAGACTTTCAAGACAGTATATTGTTTAGAATGGTCTAAATGTCTGTCCTTCAGAACTTTGCGGTCTTGTCTGAATTGTCTGAATATAGTCCATACAATCATTTGTTTTTACTAGTGATAAGTGACTTTAACAGCATAATCTTTGTGAATGAACACAAGGGACTTTCAACTTTAGGATACTTTTTTTTGTTTTAAAAAAAAAAAAAAAAAAAAAAAAA